GTGATTCTTCTTAGGTGGTGCAGACCTCAGCTTGTCAATGCACGTCGCTACTCCGCGAACATCGCCATTCTGGATGACGAGAGAGCTCCTTCGTTGGCGGCGACGAGATGAGATGGGGGGCTGAGCCCCGGTGGTATACCCCCGGTGGTATACCCCGGGTGGTATACCGTTGACGGGATTTTGCCTGGGCTTATATCGGGAAAATCCGGTCTGTTTTTTTTTTGGAGTTGTTCAAAGGCCGGAACCATATAATTTTTTTTTGTTTGTGTGCGTGGACACATCTGCGTCCATGTGTGTCCGTGTGTGCGGTTTATTGGAGGAATAAGGTTCTTCAAAGAAGCAGCTGTCCGTAATAATTATGGAAAGAGGGGGGGGGTTTCCTCGCGAAACGGCGTCACAGATGAGTCATCCGACGAAAACCGGACTGACATTCGCGTTCGCACCGAGATTACATCATCATAATGGTTTTTTTTAGGTTTAGATTATGAATACTATTGGTCGCGAACGCCTACGTGTTAAACGAGTTCTATAATCCCTTCCCTCGCTCTGGGCGTTGTCCTTTGTCTCACACAGCTTTAAGTTGTTCGTTTTCGGTTTGGAAGTTAATGAGACTCACTTTACTATTGTAACGGGTTCCGGAGACACTTGTAGAGGTAACTTCTTTATTACAACACAACACTCCAACAGTCCTGATACTCTGTTACAGCCTAGGTACACAGCCTAGGTACATAGCCTAGGTACACAGCCTAGATACTCTACTCTGGCTACGCTCTGGAACTCGCCCTCACAAGGTCATAGAGTCGGGAGTTCCAGAGTCCCAGCGCTGGCTCTCACAGCATCCCAGGGTCTTCAGATGGCTGGTCGTAGGTCTTGGGTCTTGAGTTACAACTGGGCCCTGATCGTCCAGGGAGCTCTCCTTTTATGCCTGGTCCAACGAGGGGTGGGGCCGTGTGCGCCACCAGACATCCCACAGAGCACACACAGCCCCCCCCCCCCGTTGGCGGCGCCCAGAGGCTTAAGCGTCTGGACCCCCTGGGAACCCAACGCCTGGCGCCCAGAGGCTTAAGCGTCTGGACCCCCTGGGAACCCAGCGCCTGGCGCCCAGAGGCTTAAGCGTCTGGACCCGCCCGGGAACCCAGAGCCCCCAGCAGCCCCTCCCTTCTTATGTCACTACACTATTATAGTATTATTGTAATTTGATTGTAAGTGATTCAAGGTATGTGGTAGCCGTGTTCACGGTATTTCTATCGTGGTTTGATTTCTTTATGGGAAGATGTTATTTGCTCGTGTGCGCAAATCTTGCTGTCCGTGCTGCGGGAAGACAAAGACGGTCGGGCTCTCCCTCCCCACTCGCTGCAGTCCTGCGCCCGTAATTGCGCGTGTGTTTTTTATTGTTATAGAGACATCTGTTGAATTCCTTTCTCGTGGGCACCTTCCACACTCGCCATGAAACTTTTTATGAGGGCCATTTCCCTGCTTTGTTTGTTTGTGCCTGCTGCCGTTCCTCTCGGGAAGACAAAGACGGCTGTAAGCCCCCTTTCCCTGGAGTGTTACATATTGGTTAGTTATGATAGACTTCTCCGCCCTTAACTCTCCTAGGAGATCCTCTCTAGTTTCATACTTATTATTGGATTTGTGTTTATTCACGATTTGTGACTTAGCCTGTTATTATTTCTATCTGATATCCCGGGGCTAGGGAATTTGTTTTTGGCTTAGGAGCGACCCTGACTGCCATAATTATTCTTTGATGCTTCGGTCAGGCCGCGTAGAAAATTATTAAAGGTACATAATATCAGTATTGAATTCACAAATGAGGACTCACGACCCCCTGGTGCAGACTGTAGTCTGGTTTTCAATTGGAGTGAGGATAGATAATGTTTGCTTAATCTTCATGGCTAAGTTGGTAACTTTGTTTAACTAATATGGCTCAAAACCCATCTGTTTGCTTTCCCGGTTGCCAATTTGAACTTTTTAGCCGTTATAATTTTTTTTTTATTATATATGTCTCGTGGTGCCTGTTTCTTGTATTGTGAGGGGGCCTTTTGAAGTGTGGGTATTGTCTTAACACCCTCTTGCAATTCCCCCCCTCCTCTCTTGTGTGCAATTCGGGGAGGTTTATGACATTTTATGGCTGTCTCTTTCATACTCTCTGGCCTTTTGAAGCGAGGTGTGCGTGCATCTGCCCGTGGAAGCGGGGAACCAGGTTTTTAAATCCTTTATATTAAGTTCGCTTGCTTGCTTGCTTAGGACCGTGCAAATCTTTCGGTCGTTTTTTAACCCACTTCCCGTGATTCAATCGAGCTGACATTTTCCACACAGACTCGTTGTGCCAGACAATTATTGTTCGTGAAAAAAAATTCCCAAAATTTTACACTTTTTAGGCAAAAAAAATGTGTTTTACATATATTCAAATAGAACGCATTCATGGCTTTGGCTGAACGTCAGAGTGTAAGAGCCCAGAGCGTAACCCCTCCACAGGCCGTGGCGGAGTAGCGCAGTTGGTAGCGCCCTCGCTTTCCATGCCAAAGGTCGCGGGATCGATCCCCGCGTCGTCCACAGGCGAATATATATTTAAATCCTTTATATTAAGTTCGCTTGCTTGCTTAGGACCGTGCAAATCTTTCGCTCGTTTTTAAATCCTTTATATTAAGTTCGCGTGCTTGCTTGCTTGCTTAGGACCGTGCAAATCTTTCGGTCGTTTTTTAACCCACTCCCCGTGATTCAATCGAGCTGACATTTTCCACACAGACTCGTTGTGCCCGACAATTATTGTTCGTGAAAAAAAATTCCCAAAATTTTACACTTTTTAGGCAAAAAAAAATTATTTTACATATATTCAAATAGAACGCATTCATGGCTTTGGCTGAACGTCAGAGTGTAAGAGCCCAGAGCATAACCCCTCCACAGGCCGTGGCGGAGTAGCGCAGTTGGTAGCGCCCTCGCTTCCCATGCCAAAGGTCGCGGGATCGATCCCCGCGTCCTCCACAGGCGAATATATTTTTAAATCCTTTATATTAAGTTCGCCGCCACGCATATAAAGGATTTATAGTGAAAAACTTTGTTTTTACGGGTTTACTTGTTTTCTTTTCCTTTGTTTGCTACCACGTTTTCCCGGTGTCTATTAAAAAAAAATATTATTGGCAGAATTATTCTTAATATTAATTTTTGAAAAAGGGGCATAGATACAACAGGCTTGAAGGGAAGTGCACACTTTCACATTGATGTGCGCATCGTACTTGAGCTTCAAGTAGGGGTTGTATGGCACGATGTATCAATTGTCCATCGAAACGCCTCTGACTTCTGCCTGCTCAGCGTATCAACGACAGTAGAGTGGGTATCCGCTCACATTGGGGATTGTGGTGTTGTGGAAAACTTTTGGGAACTCCTTGCTGCACTTTTCGTCATTCATGCAGGGTGCGCGTAGGTTTGCAGCACCGCACGGACCGTGCATCATGCATCTCGTGACAATCTCACGCAGTCGTGGATGGTCCCGCGTTGGAATTTCGGCGCACACAAACTGGTCGATCTGTTCGGCAGTTGTGAACTTGTCCTGAGCTCGCAGAGTAACCAAGATGTGGGCTCGCTTCTGGAACTCGATGGTGTAGACGTGCGCCTTTGATTCTCCAAACACACCATGTTTGGTCAGATCGTCGATCAGAGCGTCGAACTTGATTTTGAATACACGAACCACCAAGTCGGGTCGAGCTGATGGCTGCTCGCCCGGTCGAAGGCTGTCGGTGATATCTGGCCAGCTTGGATTTGCGGTGAATGTTATGAAGAGGTTGGGTGCACCCCATCTCGCAAAGATCGACATTGCATCACAGCATCGCTCGCGCATGTTTCTCGGTAATCCCTCGAAGCCTCTCTATTCAGTTGTGCTCCCTCGTAAGCCTCGCACTGCCAGTTCGGTTGCCATCCGGGATCGCTGTACGGATAAAGAATCGCGTACGTCATGGGATCCATTTTGGGACTCAAAATATTGAGGTTGATGAACTGCTGATTGGGATTCTGTGGATTTCTCGGGTAGATGCGAATGTCACGCTCGAACGGCGGCTTGCCATGCTCGTTGACAAAGACCATCGCGACTTCGTTTGATATTGGTGCGTTGTATCGTCGTTGATCCGACTGACGATCACGTCTCAGCACCATGCTGACCAATGGAATTTCTTCTCCCGCTTGAAGTGCACAGTCAGCTTCTTGTGCTTCGACTTCGCGCATCAACTGGTAGCTGTTGGCGAATCTGTTGTGCCGGCGGAAAAAGCGATCAATTTCGTCCAGGATAGGTTGACGACACTGAGCATTTGCCATGTGCTGTTGACGGATCTCCGTTGCTTGCATGCTGTCAAGCACGTGCAGCTGCGTGTACTGCGGTGCTTGATTGTCAAGTGGCTGCAGGTGAGATGTGCGGTGATATGTCTGGCCTGGACCTTGATGATATATGGGCCTCGTCCTGGCAAATCGACGATCTTCGCTCCCATCGACGCGAAGGAGACCGCGCTGTTGTAAGATCGTATGTGATCGCGGAAGTGAGCGTGATTCAGATGAGTTGGGTCTGTCAGCAATGCGTGGAGAAACTCAGGATATTACAGCTCAATTCTGTTGATGTCCTTTTGCTTTGGCAACTTTAATTTGCCCTTATGGCATCACAAATGGAAAATTGTCGCCAAACAAATGACAAAGTCGTGTCGGTGGGGGCCAAGTTGATTCTGGGAATCGATTCTGGGAATCAACACAAAATCACCTCGTTCTGCAGATCGATTCCAACATAATCGAACGTCTGTCCGTGCGCCTCCGTTGTTCAAACCTACACGCCCCCTGCATGAAAACGACGGGAAGTGCAGCGTTCATCACAGATAAAGCTAGGCGTTTATATGTATAAATGGACATCTGCCTTTAGTGTCACGGTCTCCAGAGGCCCTGATCCTGACTCCATTAATCTGGAACAACCTCCCCACCCACCTTTTCCCTCAAATCCAATTTCCAAATCTAAACAGATTTACCCTCAGCGCTTTCATCACCATTCTCCACCGAGCCATGCAGGAGGCCCGAGACGGCCTGTGACACGAGGCTCCAATCCTGTAGCAGGTCCGCCTCTGTGGTGAACTGGGACGTGATGGTGAAGCGGATGACGAACTTGTCTCCAGCCATGGCTGACACCACAAATAGCTGCCCCGATGCGTTGAGCTTCTTGAGTAGTTTCTCCGTCATCTCGTTAGGGCCCTGCAATGAGAACAGCCTCAAAGTGAAGAGAGAAAACACACGTAGCGACTGAAAGAGCTGTGACCATGTGGGCCCTAAAAACGTTCTCACACTTTCAGCCATTACAGATGGCCTTGTCGAGAGATAATTAAAGTATTCAAGATGTAGTTTTGGCCTTTTCTCTTAACTGTATATTATAACTGTGCTTATCATGATTTGGCCAAGGTGCAGATATATTTCCATTAGGACACTCATACAGAGTGCATCACTCCTTACTCAAGGATTGATACCCTGAAGGTGATTTCACAAGATTACCTCTGAGGTCTCTATAATTACCCTTTATCCTCATTGGGTGGGATGCACCTTCTTACATGGCCCACTATGGAATTGTTCATTGCATTAAACCAAAATTGTGCAATCCTCAGCTAGAAATATGGTTTAGTGGAAACCAATTTCAAGAAGTTTTTATTTAATTTGTGCAGTCTTTTGTGACCAGGCTCAACTTGCTATACTGGAGAAGCTGCTATAGTCATTGGTATTTTTTTTATATTCGAACCCAGGATTTCAGTGGTACTGGCTCAGCCAGTGGTCTTAAAAGTGTCCACCCCCTCAGCCACCGAGCCATCTCATTGATACTTTACAATTCCAAGCTTAGGTTTGATGGTATATCTCTGAATAAGAAGACTTTAAGGATGATAACAGGTATTCACACACCAGGTAGCTGCCAAATAGCCTATGCCGTAACAAGTGTGCAGGAGGTGCAACTGCACCCAGTGCTCATACCAACATTATCCCACTGCATTTGGAGGGGTCAACACCTTAAATACTCCATGATGAATGAGAGAAGCATGGTTGTTGCAACTCACCTGGAGGCGAAACACGACAAGTCCAAGGTTTCTCTTCACTGGAATCTCAAACCGGGGGTCATCTATGACGAGTCTTTCAAAATACCTGGCAAGCTCAACGCCCTGTAACACATAACAACACTATTCACCTTCCATACATTGTCACTAAAGTATGGTCTATGGTGGCTCATGCAGTGGCGGCTCGTCAATAGAGGGCGCAGGGGCGCCGCCCCCATCAATATTCAAGAAATATAGATATACAAAATTTATATAAAAATACATAAATAAAATATTTTTTTCATACGATGTGCCGGCTGGTAGTAAGAAAAGCATCAGCATTTAATAAAAACTGGCTTTAATCGGTCAACTATGTTCTATGTTTTTCAATGTGTTTCATGCGGGGCGCCGGACAAATGGATGTCTATGTGAGACTTAAAATTTTCGGACAGCATGTGACCTGAAGCTGGTCTCTAATTGGTTTCTTGAAGATTCTCCTCGGGGCGCAAGTCGTTGCGTCCCTGGCCAATCAGAATTGGATACATGTTATTTTATCCAATCTGATTGGTTCTCGTCACCTGTCATTCAAATTTACGCTCTGGGCCACAACTGCGAGTGCGCAGGCGACACCACTTTGACACTTGCTAGGCTAATCAAATTTTTTGTGTAAACAATGGCAGCAGTTCATCCAAATTCTGTAATTTATTTACAAAAAAATCCTTTCACAAGGCTTTCGCTGGAAGAAATAAAAAAGATAAAGGATCTCGGACCGGACCAACCCGATTTACAAATCCAGCAGCAGGCCAGTGACAGAGGACGAAGCTACACACGAAGCTTCACCCGCGCTTGTTATGAGAAACGGAGGTGGGTGGCTGGATGTGATGTTAGCAATTCTCTTTTTTGTTTTCCCTGTCTTTTATTTCAAAGTGTCGGCACTGAAGTTTTGTGGACAACGACGGGGGTAAGAGACCTCAAACATCTCTCTGACAAATGCAAACGTCATGAAAGTAGCCGCAGCCATATTGATAATAGCATGAAACTAACGTTTTTATGTTCAAGTAGGCAACATGCTTTTTGGTACTTTAGTCTGAAATGTATATAAAAGAGAAACATTTATGTTCAAGTAGGAAACATGCTTTTTGGTACTTTGGTCTGAAATGTATATAAAAGAGAAACATTTATGTTCAAGTAGGAAACATGCTTTTTGGTACTTTGGTCTGAAATGTATATAAAAGAGAAACATTTATGTTCAAGTAGGAAACATGCTTTTTGGTACTTTGGTCTGAAATGTATATAAAAGAGAAACATTTATGTTCAAGTAGGAAACATGCTTTTTGGTACTTCTTTTGGTCTGAAATGTAAATAAAGATCATCAAAATTTATATTCAAGTAGTCAAAATGGTTTTTGGTACTGCTTTATATTTATTTGCCCCCCTCAATAAAATAAAAAAATGCGCCCCCCCAAAAATAAATATCACCAGCCGCCACTGGGCTCATGGCTGCAGTTTTAGGAAGAAAATGAACTTTTCTCAAGTTTCCCAGCAGAGCCGTTGCTAGGGTACAACGAATCAGGGCGACCGCTCTGGGCCCCGTATTTTAAGGGGCCCCACGCTTCGATGTTCGTGTGTTAGATGTAAAAACATGCGTTTAGAGTCGTTGGTTGCTATGAATTTCTACGTGATAAGCCACGTCATTGAGCTATCATTTGTGGCCAGGTCGCTTCTAATAAAGAGCTTTATAGCTCAGTGGGCCTTACCTGGTAAAATAAAAATAGTTTAGCTTTAGTTGGGGGCCCCACACAATGTGATCAGACCCAGGTCAAAGTGTGTAGGAGAGGTTTAGTGGAATAACTGTAATCTGATGAGTTATGATTTAGTCAGTTAAAGCACTCAACTCCGAATTGTAATGGTGTGATTCTAAATCAATCCCGGTCGGGGGTTTAACTCGGCCCATAATCTGGTGTCGATAAATCATAAATCACTTGGTGAGAAGTCAACTGCGGTTTTGTACAGGACTCATCAGTTTATTTTGTCTAACCAGGTGAACAACTCTGACTTACTCCTGCTAAAGAAATATGACATCCATGCAAGGCTGTCAATGAAAGTAGACCTACTATAATCACTCAGGAATGTCTGTCCTTAACGCTCGTGACGTCATGAAACATCGACCAGCCCCCCTCATTAATAATCATGAGCAGATGACATTACTCCACATGAAGCACCCTCCCACCTCATTAATAATCATTATAAGTTGACGTCCTCCAAATGGACACCCCCCCCCCATTCATAATAATTAGTGGTTGACGTCACTCCACATGGCGGGCTGAGACGCCTCCTCCCCCCTCCTTGGCGTCAACTTAAAACTCTCACTACAAAGGCAGAACCCTCACATCACGCGATCTCCGTAACGCTAATTAGACATCAAAGTGTAATGAGAGTGCGCCACTTACAATAGTCACCTACAGGATGACCGGGGGGTTATTGCAGACATGTGTAATGCGAGCAAGGACAGGGTCACGTGAGTGTGGGCGGAGTCAGGGTCACGTGCGGACGAGGAGTCAGGGTCACGTGAGGGGGAGGATATAGGGGGAGAACCGGAAGGGGATCGGGAGTAGAGACAGAATAGAGAAGGGAGAGGCCACGCGGAGTGCTGGCGAGGAGTGGCGCGATTGCCACGAGGCAGGAGTCACGGCACCGTCGGCCAGCGGTGTTCGTGGAGCAGCGGGGGTGTCTGCAGAGTGTGCGGGAGCACACGGAGCAGCAGGGTGGCTGCTGGGTGTGCGGGGAGCACACGGAGCAGCAAGGGGGCTGCGGAGTGTGCGGAGCACATGAGCAGCGGGGTGGCTGCAGAGAGAGAGAGCGGGAGCGGAGGACTCAGACGACGTGCGGAGGCACGAGGCGGAGAAGGTGGGGGTCGGAGCGGAGACATCGCGGGGTGCGAGCAAGATCCCAATAAAGGACACGGAGAACAACATCGGCTGAGAGTCCTTTATTACACTGGGGTCAGAAGTGAGACATGTCGAAACAGCTCAGAAGAAAGGCCATACCTGCACCATCTTCTGCGCCATCTTCTGGAGAAGACGACGACCCTTCTCCGGCGGTGGCGCTACCAACAATGGAAGGCGGAAGCGAGACAGGGACGGGCGACGCGCCGAGAGTGCAGGATGTCGCCGGCGCAGCGGGACCGTCCCTGGGGGTGGGCGCCGAGGAAGGGTGGCGACACGTGGCGGCCCAACTCGAGTCGCTGAAGGTGGTTTTAACTCAGCTTTGCACCCTGGTGACGCCCACGACGAGTCTGGGGAGCCCGAGCAGAGGGCAGCCGAGTGGGGCCTTGTCGTCGCTTCCAGCCCTCTCCGCCACGTGGCACGGGGCCGCCATCTTGGGCGTGGTCGGGGAAGAACGGCGGGAAGACGCCATCTTGCCGCCTCCGACGCGGGAGGACACCATCTTGGGAGTGGTCGGAGACAAACGACGGGGAGCCGCCATTTTGAACACGTTGCAATGTGACGCCATCTTGTCGCTACCGCATGGGACATCTTCGGCGAATGAAGGCGGCGTGGGGACCCGCAGCCAGCGTCTGACGACGGTGAAAGAGTTCTCCGTTGGTGGAAATTGGAGCGCATTCGCCTGCCATTTTCAAGCGGCGATACGATCCGCTAAATGGACTGATGCTGAGGCTTTGGAGGTCTTGCCAACGGTTCTTGACGACGAGTCCGTCCGGTTCTTTCGCTCCATCAAAGCCGCTAAGAAGACGACGCTACAGGGGGTCTTTGAGGAAATGGCGGAGGCGTATGAGCCCCCGGACGATGCACACCGCAGGTTCGTGCAGCAGCAACGGGCACCTGAAGAATCGCCGGTGGCATTCCGGGGCGCGGTGATCGAATTAGCAATGGCCGCATATCCAGAGACTGAGCCCGATTTGTTGGAACCCCTGATACTGGGCAAAATGTTGGAGTTATCCCGGGATTTGGGCATCCCCATGCCCGTGTGCGGCCACGATAAGTTGACGTCTCGGACGGCGGCCAAGTGCCTGGATGCCCAATTCAATCTTCGCCGATGGAAACAGGTGACGGCGTGGACAAGGAGCCCTACAGTCGACGGCGGTGCAACAGGAGGGGTCCCGAAGGAGGCCGTCTACGTTCGCGACGAGAGGGGTCCTGACGGGCTGACGGCGGCATCGACCCAGTGGCCGACTCGGGAGAGAGCGGGGTTGCGACCAGGGCCGCCGGCGCGGGAGCGACAAGACAGAGGGGGTGCTGCATGGCGAGCCGATCTGGCATGTTTCCGCTGCGGCCGTAAAGGCCACTTCGCCAGGGAATGCTGGGCTCGCGTTCGACCGCCGCCCCAGCAGGAGGCCTCGGTTACGGACGCAACGGGGAAGGACCACCCACGACAGGCAAGTCGGTATGCATCAGACACCCGGCAAGGCCTGTCACCTCATGCATCACCATCGATACGTGGGCCGGGTGCCATTACTGACGGGGGGGCGTTCGGTGGTCAGCGTCGCTCGCTGACGCAGTGGCGCAAATTGGCACGGAGAGTAGTTGCGGCCGCTACGGGCTCGTCGACCGTGCCGGGGTCGATCCAAGGGATCGACGTGTGCATTTTGGTTGACTCGGGAGCGTTAGCGACCATTATCTCCGACGTGATATTTCACCTCTTGTCCATTCCGCCGGGGCGCATGAGGCCGGTTTACGACTCTTGCATAGCGGCGAACGGGGGTAGTATGGGCATTGTGGGTCAGGTGGACGCCAATATATCGGTTGGGGATGTTTCGGCTACTGGGACAGTGTTGATTTCCAGGTCCCTCGCGGTGCCCTGTTTGTTGGGAACCGATTTCCTAGCCAAGATGCCAATTCAAATAAGGGTGGATCATAATTGTATTGAACTGCCGGGGGGTCGGCGTGTTTCATTCTTGCCGTCACCCTGGGGCCGGACAGCTCCTGACCGTCAGGTGCAGGCGCTGTCCGAGGTATCGGTCGATATTCCGCCTGGCTCGCAGATGCTTATTTCGCTGCGGTATCGGAAACCGGTGCCGGGAATCGAAGGGGCGGCGGGTGTTTTGTTATCACCGTCCGCTGCTGTAACGGGTGGCTTGACGCTGGTGGGGGCACAGACGATTGTCCG